GAACGCGAGGCTACTCAGGGCTCGGGTCTTGAAAAGAACTGCATAGTGTAAGTCTATTCTGCCTTACTTTTCGATGCTTAAGAGTTGCTCTGTTCCTGAATGTCATCAAAAAGGAAAAATAATCTTTCACTGGAGGATTTCGATTTTTGAGTTTCCCTGCTCGCCTCAGATTAAAACATGGTATCTACATGTTTATAAATCGCATTACTAGATAAATTAATGGCTGATTGCTCTCAGGTAAAATGAATTGGCTTTAAGCTTTTAATCTGAATTCTGATTGGCTCTTTGTGACATTTTCTTTTGCTGTGATTGGCTGTAGTAATTACTTGGCTTTGCTTTAACTGCAATCAATCGAAATGCACTCCATACCAACCTTATCTTGGGCAATGAATCCCACTATGGTTGGACTGACAAACCCAGCTGTAGTTCCAGCAGTGTTACAAACGCCCATGATGATACTCGAGTAACGCGGAGCAATGTCCAGCATGTTTACAGTGTATGCCGGGAATGCCAGTGAGGTAGTCAATCCAGCCAGACTCATGCAAATAACAACCACTGTGACATTTAAAGAGTAACCAGCTATGAGGACTAAAAACCCACTCGCTATGGCGCCTGGAGAAGAAAAAGGAAGACATAATTATTAGGAAGACAGGTGAAATAGATTATCGGTTAAGATGTAGACCAAGTTCATAAAAAGCTTGAGGTAGTGGAGACTGGAAGTTGCACTTTTATTGACCGATACGAGGATGAATCCTATTTCCAGTCATCTTTAGCGAGTAACAGATATAGGAGAAAAATCCACCAAATCGCTTCCCCGTTTTTTCACTCTGAAAAAAAGGGGTTCGTGACCCTGTGTTGGCTAAAACAGCCAGAACACGTTTTTTCGTTTTTCTTCTTGTATAGAAAAATTGAAAAGGAACCTGTAGAATGAAACCAGCAAGATGAAAGAGGGCGATCTCGACCGAGAGGCCAATTAGGATATAGGATTCGCTTCATCTTTTTAGTTCTTGGAGCCAGCCCTATGATAACGATATCTACCACGAAAATTGGGGACATACGTTTTCAGATCTTGAAGTTAAAACGAGTTGAGTTAGTTCAGTCATTGCACTAAAAATCGTTGACGATTACCATAGACAAGTCAACAAAGAAACCTTTAGCCAACTTAGAGGTATAGAAAATATGGACTTGTAAGTCCGTTTTTTTTCGTACCAGCAGCGTAAAAAACTCTTCTAACGTTCTTTGTAGATACCGTGCTTTTCCTCAGCACATCTGCTGCTAAGCCAGACAATGGAGAACAAACACCTTTGACGAGAAAAGGTGAAGCAGCCATGAATCCCATCTGAAAATAAAGATAAGAAAAGAAGAATAACACTGAATGTTAGTTTTAGTTGAAAGCAGCCCAGTTTAGAAGTTTAGCAAGGACCATTATTTACTTCTCGATAGAGTGTGAGTGCCGAATAAGAAAATAGTTTGCTAGGGGTCATACTTTGTTGACTGAACATATAGATAATACTGGCCTCGTTTTTTTTTCTTTC